GGGCAGGAGGGATGCTGGGAATTGAACCCAGGGGCACTCAACCCCTGAGCCACATCTCCGGCCCATTTTATTTTTTTATTTTGAGACAGGGTCTTGCTGTGTTGCTTAGGGCTCAATTGCTGAGGCTAGACTCTAACTTGCAATCCTCCTGCCCCAGCCTCCCAAGTCACAAGGATTATAGGCATGAGCCACCCTGCCCAGTGGAAGCTGCATCTTGTCCAGACTTGGGCCTGAAGTTCCAGCAGGGCCAGAGGCAGAGCAAGTCTTAGCTTCCAGTGAAGCGCAGCATCCTGAGCAAGCTCAGGAGGGACAGAAAGCAAATTCCCCTGGATTCCTTCAAGCACTACCTACTGAGCATCTCCTAGGGCCAAGCATGGCCGTGACGCTAGGAGTATACAGTAGGCAAAACACAAGAAACCACACCGTCATGAAGCTGGTATTCTAGTCTGGGGGATAGACAACGCGATAAATCAGCCTAAGTGATAAAAAGAGGACAGTGAAGCAGGAGAGGGCCTGGGAATGTGTGAGGATGTTGCAATTTGGGGGAATCTGTGAGGGTCAGGAAAGGCCTCGTGAAATGGTGACATTTAAGCAAAGATTTGCTAGATGGGGTGGGTCCAGTGGTGCACACCTATAATCCCAGTGGCTTATGGGGCCGAAGCATGAGAACTGCAAGTTTGAGGCCAGCCTGGGCGATTTAGCAAGATCCTGTCTCAACATAATAAAACCAAAAAAAGCAAGAAACTCAGAGGTGAAGTGTCCCTGGGTTGGACGCCCGGCACCAAAACAAAACAAACCACCACCGAGATTCAGCGGAGGGGTGAGGGGAGCCATGGGGCTGTTTGGAGGAAGAGAGTGCCCGGTAATGGAGGTACAAGTCAAAGGCCCAGAGGGAGGAGCCCAGTGAGAAGGGACAGGGGCTGAAATGAGGCCAGGGAGTTGGACCTCGTAGGCCTTCGCTGTGACCTTAGCTGGGGCAGCAGCAAGGCACAAGCTAGATATATTTCAGAGGAGGGGACCCTCCCAAAGGGAAACTGAGGCTAGCTCGTGGGTCTCCAGCCGGCTTTCCCCCTGGTTTCCCTGTGGGGGTCTGGGAGTTGGGGTGGTCTCAGTCCCACTGGAGGGAGCACGGAGCATGGATGAGCCCTGAGAGGCCGGGCCCTGGGACCTGGGGGGACCCAGTGAAGGTGAAGGTGTGGGGAAAGGTCACCAGAGGCCGGGCCACAGGGTGTACAGGAGCAATCTGTTCCCTCTCTGCCTGGAAACCGGGCCGCTCTTGTCTCTCCCTGAGCCGTCGGGCAGGACGAGCGGTCCAGGCCCAGAGAAAGGCCCACAGTTGTCTGGAGATAAAAGAAGCCCCCCCGGCCCACCCCCGGGCTGTGAGGCCCTGTGCTCGCTCTCTGGGCACCTTCTCAGGGCACTGCCTGGCACCACCCGGCTCTGGCCTCGCCTCTCCAGCTCCCCTCTGGTGCCTCCCCTCCTCCCCTGGACACACAATGTCTCCTTGTGCCTTCCCCCCGGGGCTCCCAGGGGCGTCTCCCCTGCCGGCCACACATCCACGGCCAGCCCAGGCCCGCGGCTCTTTCATCCCGCTGCCCGGGATGCCTCCCTGGTCACCCCTGCTATCTGCCTCTGGCGACCTTGAGTCCCTTCTGAACAGTGGGAGGGCCTGGCAGGAGCCTTGCCCAGTCCCCGAGTGCCAACTCTGAAACCAGATCGGTCACACCCTGAAGAAGAAAAGGCTGTTTATGTTCCTCCTTGACGTCCTCCAGCCGCCACCAACGTCAGGAGGGACACTCACTTGCCAGCTGGGCTTGCTGCCATCCCGGTGGCCTGGGGCAGACTTCCACCTGCAGCCCAGAGAGTGTGGACACAGGCAGGTCCCGCCTCCGTGTTCCTCAGGGGCCTCAACAGTGACATTTAGAGACACCCCGGCTGCCACCAAGGGCAAGTGGCAGGAAAGGCGGGGTCAGGAAGGGAAGGTGGCCTGGCTCCTGTGCTGGCTGGAGGGGTCAGGCCCGCTGGCCAGCCGCTCAGCGCCCTCCTGCAGGAAGCCTCAACAGATGGCGAACTTCTGGCCCAGGGACAGGGCAGAAAACTCTGGCTGCTTGTGGGAGGGGACAGGAAGGCTGGTCCCTGAGAGAAGCTGGTCTTTTCCTGTCCTCCTCTCTCCAGGCCAGGGACGGACTGCTTTGGAGCCCACCTCTCACACTGGCACCGCGGGTGGCCTCTGCCCACTGCATGGCGACCCAGAGGGTGGCCCACCAGGACCTCCCCAAGACGGGGTGGAGGAGGGAGCAGGACACGGACGCTGGAGGCTGGCAGCAGCCACAGGAGCAGGTTCAGCTGGCTGCCTGCCTCTGCCCCAGAGCCCTGTCCCTCCACCACAGCCCTGTCACAGGCCATTAAGCTCTCAGCAGGTGCCCTGTGCTCGCTGGAGGCTGGGAGCCAGGTTGGAGGTGGACCTGGAGACATGCCATCTCGCCCCCCCACCCGGCCTGGCACTGTCGGGGCTCAGAGCCCTCCTTGAGGCTCAGGGCACTGGTGGCCAAGTGATGAGATAGTCCTTTGCCACTCAGGGTGTGGCACTTGTCCATTCCATCCCACACGCCTGCGGAGGCCCCTGGGTGGGGGACACGGTGCTGGGCTGGGCACCAGCCAGGAGGCCGCGTGCTCAGGCCCTCCCTAGCTTGGAGCATCAGGGAGGGAGGCTGCCCCGGCCCAGGAGGACATCCAGGAAGAAGTGGCCCTCAGGGCTCTAGGCCTAACCGACACTGACAGGAATCAGGGGACAGACAGCACCTCAATGGCAAGACTCCCTCCTGAGACCAAGGGGGCCAGTAACGCGTGTTCTCAAGAACTGTGACGCGTAGGAGATGGACCGGACGGACCTGTGGACACCAAGTGAGTCCAGGCCGAGGTGGCTCGTTGGAAATGTCGCGTCTTATTTGGGTCCCCTGATTTATTTATTTTTTTAAATGATGGCATTTATAAAGAACTGGCACTCAGAATGTTTTCTAGATATTCATTTAGGTTGAGGGTTATTGCTGAACCTCTGTTGGGGTACGATGACGTGGTATCTTTCATATGTACACACATGATCACAACATGTAAAACACATGTACATGTAAAACGATGTTGCTGTGATCAATAGGTATGCCTATACATTTGTGTGCATGTGTATTTTTATTTATTCACTGAATTATGAGCCCTTATCTTTTAGATACACACTGAAATATTTGTGGGGAAAGCATGTGATGTCAGGGATTTGCTTCAAAATGACAAGAGAAGGCACAGTCGAGGTGGCTGGGGAGGGCACTGAAGAGGTGAGGGTCGCTGGGTCTGGGTGACGGGTCGATGGGTGCGTTAGATGGTCTTATCTAGTTTTGCATCTGTTCTACATTTTTTTTGTACTAGGAGTCAAACCCAGGGGTGCTTAACCACGGAGCCACATCCTCAGCCCTTTTTTGTATTTTATTTAGAGACAGGGTCTCACTGAGTTGCTTAGGGCC